GCTGTGTAGCTCCAGCAAGCTACCAAACTTTCCTGCAGCTATTGAGCATAACAGACCCTATCTTGCAGGGCCGCTCTGGGATTTCTTTTCTCACTGTGGTGAGGTATGTGAGGAGATTCACTGTCTCAGCCATGTTTAGGTGCACAGTTCAGCAGCATTAGGTTCATTTTATAGTTCCACCACCACCACCATCTGTCTCAAAAACTCTTTCTACCTTGAGTAACTGAAAGTCCATACCGCTAAGGGCAACTCCTCATGCCCATCCCCACCCCCACCCCCACCCTCTGGTTGCTGACCACCCATCATGTCACCTCCTAGCCCTATAAATTTGACTATTCCAGGTACTTCATATACGTGATTCGTATGGTACTTGTCCTTTAGTGACTGGTTTATTTCACCTAGATGTCCTCAGGTTCGTGCATATTGCAGCATGTATCAGAACTTTATTCCTTGTTAAGGCTCAATAATATTTCAGTCTATGTACGTACCACATTTTGTCACCCACTTATCTGCTGATAGACACCATGCATTGTTTCTATCTCTTGGCTACTGTGAATAGTGCAGCTAGAAATTTGAGGGTAAGATAACCAGTTCAAGTGCTTATTTCCAATTCCTTTGAGGAGACAGACAGACTTGGTGAGCCATACGGTCATTTGGTTTAATATTTTAGACATCAGTGTGCTGTAGTCCATAGCACTATGCCATCTTACATTCCTACATTGTACCACAAGAGTTCCAATTTTTCTACCTATTTTCTGTATTTCATTGTCAATACCTATTTTCTGTATTTTTCGTAGTAGCCATTCTAATGCTTATTATTTAAAATTTTTGTATTATTGGGTTTTTTTTTTTTTTTTAAGACAGCCTCATATAACACAGTTCAAGGCTGGCTTTGAACTCACCATGGAATCCAGGCTGGCCTCAATTCTTGATCCTCCTGCCTCCACCTCAAAGAGGCTAGGATTCCAGGTATACGTCACCATGCCAGAACTCACTGTCTCACAGTTTTAACACAAACCAAAAGAAGCTGCCTGTGGGCATATCCAGAAGCCAAGCAATTGTGTGACTCCAACCAGAGAAGAAAGCAGAACTTATTGTAGATTTTCCGGATCAATACCAGGATTTGCAGTGGGTCACCTAGCAAAAGGTATTAGAAACCCTTGCTATCCCTCCACGAAGCCGCCTTCTCCATCCCCTCGCTGCTCTGTCTTCTCCTCTGCTGGGCTCCATGCTACTTTGACACCATCCTTTGTCTTCTTTTTCAACACTCTTTCCACATCTGTCCACCCCCCTGCTGTATTCAGCCTCTTCAAGAAGCAGAATCTGGACCCTCTCTGCTTTTTCCTGTTAGGGAACTACTCTCTGTAATAAATTTATCCACTTCATTATAGAAATTGTAGAAAATATAATGCTCAATAAATGGCAGCTAATCTTCTAGAACCCACCTCACACAGGGACTATGAACATTCCAGGTGGGCAAAGTGCTTAGAATATGGCTGGTACTTCAGAGCCTTCTGACACCTCCCATCTGTTCTTGTTGGGCCTAGGATAGAAAAGGGCCTTATCGGTGTCAGGCAAGCACTGTACCACTAAGTTAGTTATACCCAGCCCTTTAAGTACTTCCTGAAGGTTAGCTAGGATTATTGTGGTGACAGTTACAGGGAGCCCAGTGTGTAAGGCTTAATTAAAAGAAGCTGCCCCAAACTTCAGAGCCAAGTGACCACAGTAAGTCACCTTGGAGCAGAGCATCTTTGACTTTTTCCAGAACTTTAGACTGTTCCCCTTCAAGTATGCAAACGTTTGGTGAAAGGCACCAATTGCCCTGGGTAATAGTTTAATAGGATATTTTGAAGTTTGACAAATCTGCTGCTTCCAATACCCTCTTAGTAGGAAGAGATGAATACATTTGAACTTAGTAGGCAAAGGACGCTTATCTGCACCTACATCTGTAACAAATTACAATAGTCTCTCTTATCTGGGTTTCAGTCGCCTGCAGTTATGTGTGCCAAATACAGTCTGAAAATATGAAATGGAAAATTCCAGAAATAAACAATTCTTAAGTTTTAAACTGCATTAGGACCAACAAGATGGCTCAGTGGGCAAAAACACTTGCTACCAAGCTTGATGACCTGAGTTTGATCCCCAGGACCCACATAATGGAAGAGGAGAACCCACTCGCAAAAGTTGTCCTCTGGCCGCCACAAGTAGGCCATGGCACATATGTGTCCCCCACTCACACATTAAATAAATAAATGTAATTGAAAATTACTTCTCTTGACACTGTGACAAAACATCTGACAGGACCAAATTGAAAGGAGAGGTTTATTCAGGGTACAAATCGGCATGACAGCTGGAGCAGCTCAAGCTGGAGCTTTCAGCAGCTGCTCACATGCTGGCAGATCAGAAAGCAGAGAGATAGGGCCAGAAATGGGGAAGGTTGGAACCCTCAAAAGCCTGGCCCCAGTGACCCACCTCTGAAAGCCAAGCTTCCCACCCCAAAGATCCCACAACCTTCCAAAACAGCATCATAAGCTCTGGAATAGGTGTTCAAGTATAGATAGGTAAGGCCTTTGAGAGGTGATTAAGTCATGGCAGGAAGCCCTCATGAATGGGATCAGCATCTTGTAAAAGGGACCCTCGAGCATCCCCATATTCCTCTGCCATATGTGGGTTCAGCGAGAAGGTCATCTATGATCCAGGAACTGGTTTTCAACTCTTACAAAATCTGCTAGACTTAGTTTCTTAGACTTAAGTCTCCTAGACTACCCAGCCTGCTAAACTCTAAGAAATAAAAGCTTATAATTTAAGCCACTCAACCTCTTGTGTTGTTACAGCAGCTAAAACTGAAGAAGACAGAAAACAACCTTTCAAACGTAAAGGCTTTCCTTTTGGACTTTTATCAGGAGGGTTGGCCCACGGCTTGACTATTCTGTCTTTACAACAGCAGTCTGTGTGTAAACATAGAACCAGAGTGACTGAGGCAGGCCCAGCCCCACCCTTTTATTGCTTACTTCCTTCCCCTCTTGAGCATTGTCAAGAGTTGTGTAAAGAAAGCAAACTACCTGAGCTCTATCTACTCAAACTTGTAAGAGACACATGGCCACAGCTGAGCAATGGAGGGGGGAGAAATACCCACCAGGAGACAGCTCTGAGTTTGAGTTCTCCACAAACTAGCTATGTATGCTTTGGGAAGTAACCTAATGTCTTTCTGTGCCCTGGGTTCCTCAAAGGTAAAATGGGTTGACAGTCACCGCACCTCACAGGACTGCTGGCAGGATTAAGGGTGTGAATAGGTCCTCAGGGAAGAGCTATTCCCTGGGAGGCTGAGTGTGATTTTCTGGACAGCAGCACAGCTCCTGGGGGCAGGAGGTGCTTATGTCCCCAGACTGCCAGACATGCCCTCTGCCGTGCATATTTCATTCTAACCCCCTCAGGCACGCTCAGACAGAAGTTTCTCCGGTCTAGGAGTCTCTCTATAAACAGTTTACATCCTGAGGCTGCTTTCCAGAAGGGGCCCAGCAGAGGCTCCGAGGAAGGAGCCATTATCCCATCCCCTAAGCCTTTCTGTTCAGGACAGATTTAGAGACGGGAGGCCCAGCTCACTGAAAGTACAAGCAGTACTTCAGCACTTGGTGCCTTTCCCACAGACCCTTGGGCCAAATATCTCCCAGTTGAGAAAAGGCTGCCCTGATCCACCTCTCAGGAAGGCTCCAAAGGCAGAACTGGTCTGCCCTCTGAGGGTCTGCCCTGCCCATTTGAGGACATCCATGAGAAGTGAAGCCTATCCTCAGTACCCCATGTCTCCTCTTCCCTCCCATGCTATTTTTCCTTCTTCTGTCCTTTTATGTTCTCGTCACTAACACTGATAACATTTGCTTTTTAATTATCCCAGTTCCAACCACCCTACAAACAATGTTTTTTTCCCCTATCCCCCAAAAGATTCTAAAAATAATTTTGAAATAGAAAGTTCAAAACTAAGGTAAAAAATACTGGGATTACAGGCCTGTGCTACCAGGTCAAGCGCCGGACATTGCTGACTTGACCATTTAACAGGTATATAGTGATTTCCCACAGTGTTCTGGGCAGTGTGCTTAGTGCTGGGACACATAAACCTGTGCATGTATATGTGTGTATCATCAAACATATTGGAAAAAATAAGGTATTTTCACTAAATAATTTCTCAGAGCTACTTTTCCATATCAATTTGTACAAATAACAAATATTTATGATTTGAAATCTACGGAGTATTCCATGGTAAGCACACACTAATTGCCTTTGTTATGCTATTTTACAAACAAGCCACATTCTCTTTGCTTGGTAATGTGTGAAACAACCTGCTCAAAGTGCAGTGCTTGCTTGACAGACCTGCTGTAATCTGGCTAGGGTGTCCTAGGACCTGTTCCCTACACAAGGATTGGAAGACAGCCAGCTGAGAGGCCTGGCTCAGTCTGGGACATCTTCAACAGGTGAGCAAGTCCAGCAACTGGATCACAGTGCTAGTGACATGGCTGAGTTCACACCCAGACCCTCTGACTTCAAAGCCCCCCAGTCACCCTCTCCTGTTTAGGATGTCACCTGCATTTATATTAGCCACACATTGCTGTGGAATCTTTCTGCCTCCAGGACTTCCTTTGTGCAATAAATTCTGTAGGCTACTGAATAAACAAAGGAAAGGAAAGAAATAAACAAGATCACGAAATGGGAAGGCAGAGGTCAGTGTGTGTGTGTGTGTGTGTGTGTGTGTGTGTGCGCGCGCGCGCGCGCACCTGTGTAGGACCTCTGTTGTTATGTGCAGCAATTTAAGCAGGTAGAGGACATGGTAAGAAGCTCTTGCTTCATATTTTATATTCTTCCCATTATCTGGCTCCGGTCCCCTGGTTTGAGCTGTTAATGAATAAGCAGTTTTAACACTCAAGTTCAGTTTCCTCGAACACTTTCTCAGACACTGCAGTAGCCCCATGGATGGGGCATTCCTGGCAGTTTCTTATCTGGGTGGTGAAATCAAAATGCAGCCTAATTGGTCACTGGCTCCCTCGGGTGAATGAAGGAGGTTTCTGTTTTGAGAAATCTACTTCGAGCAGCCAGTCGTTGATTCACTGCCCACAGGGAGATTGCTAAGCTGAGGCTTCCTCGCCTCTGTAGAGATTTGCATACAACTTCCACTTCCGGCTTGGGAGCCTGTTCTACTACTTACCTGGACCTGGTGAGGTAAAGGGAGGCCGGGAGTAGTGACCCAAGGTGAAGCCAGGAGACCAGAGCGCACGACCACCCCTGGGCCTGTCTGTCTGTTCGTGGTGATCTCCGTGGTGATCTCCGGTAAGCGATCTTAGTGATGTCTGTCTTCCTCCACTGACCTGTTTTCCAGCCCACTACTCTCTCCTTTGCCAGAACATTCTGCTCCTCCTTTCCTCTGCCCTCGGCTCCCACCTTTACCGCGTTCATCTGGAGACCAGCTTGAGCTGAGACAATGACAGCAAGTTTCTCCAGCAAGACTGTGGTACTGGGCCAGCGTTTCAGACAGGCCGAGTTGAGATTAACTCTTTAAGGAGAGGAACTGCCTGGTTTGAGTTTGAGTTCTTAGTGTCTCCCCAAGTTTCCATTAAGAATTCGGACCCCAGGTACATAGTGAGTTCAAGGCCAGCCTGGATTACACAGCAAAACCCTGTCTTATAAACAAATCGAAAACTGTTTCTCTAAGGAGGGAGCCTGTGGCAGCAAGGATTAAGTCATTGGCTTCCAGCTCCAGGCACGTCAGTGGCAAGACGGGAAGGAGAACACCCAGTTTTTCTCTAGCCTGGTTTTATGTTGGGAAAAAAAAAAATCAACACCACATTCTTGGGTCAGGAAGTCCTGCTCAGCCCCCTTCACAGGCCTCATTCTGCTCAGCCAGACATTTACTGGGGCTGGATGGAACCTTGTGGGGATGCCGGGGAGAAGCTAGTACTTGAAGCCCATCAAGCTTCATGTGACTTTCTAGTTCAAGGCAGTCTCAGAATAAGGAGATTTTTTTTTTTTTTTTAAAGGGAGTGGGTGAAAAGAGACCGAATAATTCTTTAAAAAGAGGACAGGAAACTTGGTTCCAAGTTCTTCCTCTACTTTGTTTGGGTCTATCTCTTAGGCAATAGCCTTCAGCTCCCCCAGGCCTGGGTTTCTTCATTCACAAAGTGTGTGTGTGTGTGTGTGTGTGTGTGTGTGTGTGTATGTATGTGTCTGTCTGTGTACTAACATGGTTATGTCTAAATTCCTTTCCAAAAAAACAAGGCAAACTTTAATCCCAGGACTTGGGAGGCAGAGGCAGATGGATTTCTGTGAGTTCGAGGCCAGCCTGGTCTACATAGCAAGTTCCAGGCCAGCTGGGACTACAGGGAGACCCTGTCTCAAAAAGACCAAAAAAAAAACAAAACAAAAACCAACAAGGCAAAGGTAGCAAAGGTAGGCCCAGAAGTATATGTAATTTGTGGTCTTAAAAGACTTGTTTTGTTTACTGATTATTACACATATAAATTTAACCTCTTGCTACTAGTTGGTTAATAAGAGGCATCTGTTTCTTAATACTTTTCGAGCCCTCAGAGCCCCACATTTTATCAAACACCTTGAGGTGCTCAGACTCCTTGCACATAAACTTTTTGTTTCCCTCATCTGCTTTCCAGGCAAAGGTAAAGCCAAAGTCAGGGCAAGCTGCTTGGGAGTGGGGGAGGAGGAGGGGCAGCTGCAGCTCTGCAGGACAGCTGCCTAGAATCAAGCATTCATTTTTGGCTTTAGCCAAATGGGGGAAACAGGATTTCTTGAATTTAGTTCATGTCCCATTTAGGTTACGAGGAAGCATCATCCCAAGTGTTTGCTGAGAGTCAGGGCAGGTTGGAGAGCTGGCCTGCCAGCCTGCTCCAAAGGCCAGGAGGTGGAAACAAGAAGGCACTCCTGTCTGGCCCACAGTCAGTGTGTGGGCCTTTAATGGGAGGGGAAAGGAAACAGTGAAACGCATCCTAGCACCATGTAAGGCTGGTGACTATGATTGGTCTCATTATTAGTTGGTGCATATACTGACTCTTTAAACTTTTCCAAACCACTGCTTTAAAAAAAAAATTGTTTCTTTTGAGCAATTACCAATGTCAGTACAGTTTCAACAGGCTCTGACTGACTGGTTGGGCTGATTCAGGGCTTTGGGTATTGCCAGGGTAGCAAGACCCTGGCATAGTCCTTGTGGTGTTTTTAGGTGTTTCTCTGTATTCCTCTGGGATAAGAGCACCAGACTTTGTGGTGAGTTCCAACTTTCATTTTCCAATCACAATGTGTCATTGACTGAAATCAGGTAGCAGTTGTTCAGTTGCCAGCCTTGCTCTGACTGGTAAAGGCTCCAATACATTCTTAATCTGGTGCTACTGCTCCAAGTCATTCCACACATGGCAAGTATGAGGAGACGGATGATGCAGCCACTCCGCTGTGTTCACTACTTGAGACCTCACAAGAGTGAGGTCTGGTTAATGTAACAGCATGTTGGAGAGAAAGCTTCCTAGCTCAGGGATTCTCAGAGGGCACAAAGAGTGTTAAAGTCTGCACCTCCCAAGATTAAAGAGTTGGTGACTTTCAAATGCACTGAAAATTAGGAGAAACCCATCTTTGCAGGCATCCTTTAACAGGCATCCAGCAAGATAGATTATGGTAAAATAGTTTGTCTAAATTAAATCAATGTTTTAAATGTTGCAGAATGGAAATTTCAGGTAGATCCTGAGTTCAAATCATTTTTCTGCTGCAGGCAATTTTAGATTATCCTTTAAAAACGTACATGTATGAATTGTAGGGAACTGCAATAGCAAGAGTGCAAGTGGGGTACATTCAACTTTCAATTTCTTTCCGATCCAACCAAATGACCCCTAATGTTTGATCACATTTCCTTACCAAAACAATCCAGCCAGCTTTCCATGAGAAGCATCTGATGACTGGAATCTAGAAACTGTCCCCCAGGTCTCTCCTGTTTCTTCCCAGTGCCTTGTGACTGAGATATTTTCAGTTCATAAAACCCAGGCTTTCCTCTCCCTCTCCAACATTCCTTGTCTCCTGCCCAGCAGGCCTCCTAGAGCTCACATGTGCTCTGGCCTGGTTGCTCTGCTCACTCTACTCATGTGCGTGCATGTGTACACACAGGTGTGCATGCAGATCTTCCTGGAGACCAGAGGCTATAATTTGTTTGAGAAAGGGTAGCCTTTCATCCATGTTGTGGCCCTTAGCATAGTGCCAGTTTGGTCTGGATCCCTGATGAGGGTGCTGAACTCAAGCTATCTGGATGGATGGGACTTACTGAAGCCTCATTACCACACACACACTGCCTATCCCCTTGCAGCACCCCCCAGACCTAGTCTGCATGGGGTCTTGGCAGCTCCCTCAGTGATGAGGGAAACTTGGCTTTCCTCTGCCCTATTGTTTTCCTGCTGTGTTCTTCCCTTTTCCTCACCCAGGGTTAACAGGTCTCACTCCCATCTCTGAACTTTCTTCCTACTCTGAGTTGTCAGTTCAGACTTCCTGGTCACTGACCTGCCCTATACATTCTTGCCTTTTCCCTGTGACCTTCCATTGACTCTCCTATCTGTTAACACACAGATTACAGTCTTTAGTTTCCCTGCTTTCTTTCTCTGTTCGTCCTTCCATACCCTTCTCATCCTTTTTATCCCTTCACTCTATGGCCTGGACTACATTAGGGATCACAACTAGGTGCTTTAGAAAGAGCATCTTATCTGAAGCAAGTAAGTAAACAAATAAGCAAACAAAACAATGGCAAACAAAAGAACCTGAGCTGGTTTGCATGGTCTTGAGTGTTCATTACCAGCTTCCAGGGTGGCAGGCAGTCTGTTCCCATTAGTCTGTCTCCTCCTCCCTCAGCTTAGCATTGGCATGCCAAGGCCACTTCCTCTAGTCAGAGCAGACTGTGCTGAGTGCACTCAGCCTGATGTGAGTCTTCCTGTGCAAGGGCGAGTAGATGGCCCCTTGTCTACAGGGCCCCTTGTCTCAGTGCTCATAGTGCTTCAAATCCTCTGGCAAAGCTGATGGAACAACTTCTCTCAGGGAAATTCTGCAAGTACTTGGAAGCATTTGTTCACTGGAGTTTGAATCTGAGCCAAACAGTTCACTCCAAACCAACTTTCCACTAAACAAACCAATGTTATGAAAATTTACACGCATTTGGGCAAGGAACATTAATGAGTTCATGCATTTTTTAAAAATCTGTGACTTTAGACATAAAAATTACTCTTTGGGGTCCAATGAGATGGCTAATCTGGAAAAGTTGCTTGCTACCAAGCCTGACAACCTGAGTTTTATCCCAGAAACCCACATGGTAGAAGGAAAGACCATTCTCAAAAGTGGTATATACCCCTTCACACACACAATAAATATTTTAAAAATTACTTCACTGGGAAATTAAATAAGATCTTGAGAATTTGTAATTGAGACTATCTGATCAAAATTTGATTTTGGGATCCTTCCAACTATAAATTTATATACTTATTGTGATAACCTGAAATAATTCAATTGAAAGTATCTGATCCAAATTGGATTTTAGGATCCTCCCAACTATAAATTTATATATTTATTGTGTCTACCTGAAATATTCATACCATGTGCCTCTATGAGTCTTAAACCCTACCAATGACCCAAACAGTGTTTTTTTTTTTAAATCCAGGGTTAGGGAGATGGCCAGGTGAGTAAAGTCCTTTCTGCATAAGCATGAGAACTAGAATTCAGATCCCCAGAAACCTTATAAAAGCCAAGTGGAAGTGGCAGCCTGCCTAGAATCCCAGTGTGTGGGAGGTGAAGGCAGGGAATCCCCAGAGCAAGCTGGCTAGCTAGACCAGCACAAAGGTGAGCTCTGGGTTCAAGGAGATACCCTGCCTGAATATATAAGGTGGAGAGTAATCAAAGAAGACACCTGATGTCAACCTTGAGCCTTCAGAAAAGCAAACACATGTACACTATATACGGGAAAAAAAATTTCAGGCTGATGTAGTGGTGCATGCCTGAATTCCCAGCATTTAGGAGGTAGATGCAGGAGAATAAGGAGTTCAAAGCCAGCTTCCAGTATTTACTAAGTTCAAGGCCAGCCTGAGACCCTGTTTCAAAAACAAAACAAAACAAAACAAATTCAAGCAGTTGGTGACCATGGTGCCTTGATTAGTTAGGAACTGTTAATGCGATTTATTAATTACTCAGGCTGCTCACTCTTGCCCTTCCTCTGTTCCTTGCTGTGCTATTTGTCTTCTTCCAGGGACACAACACCTTCATTAAATCCCATCCGTCCTTGCCTGAGAGGCGTCCCCTGGAAGCTATCCTCTCTCCAGCTGCATTGCCATTCATCATCACCCTTTGTTTGTGCTCTGTCAACCAGGTTTCAATTTATTTTGAATTCAGTTTATGATTAAAATTTAATGAGATCCAATCAAGTGCTTTTTTCAAATCAAGATGCTGCTGCAGTCTCATCCATACCCTCCACTGTAATGGCGTGAAGGAAAGCCACACAGACTTCCAGCCTGGTGCTGCCTTACAGACGCTGGCAGTGCCTGCTCACACTCCTTCATGTCAAGGAGAATGGCCTGAGAAATACTTATCCCAGAGCTGCTTCTGCCCATTTTTCTCCCTCTCAAATAATCAGAGCAGCCAGTACAAACCATCCAGTGCACAGGCTCTGGTGCTGAACTGCTACTTACCATGTGACCTTGAGAAAGTTCCTTAACCTTCCCGTGCCTCAGGTTCCCCGTTATAAAATAAGACCAACAACAGTAACTATCAACTCAGGTCACTGTGAAAACTAGACAAGTTAATATGTATAAAAATACTCGGACAAGGGGCTGAGCAGATGGCTCAGCAGTTAAGAGCACTGACTGCTCTTGCAGAGGAACCGGGTTCGATTCCCAGCACCCACATGGTGGCTAAGAACTGTCCTTAACTCCAGTTCCAGGGGAATCTGAAGCTCTCTTCTGACCTCCACGGCATTGCACGACATGGGTGCACTCACATTTATGCAGGCAATACACTCATACACATAAAATAAAAATAATAAATAAAATATTTTAAAAAATACTTGGACAATGTTTCACACACAATAACCATTCAATAATATTAACAAAAGACAGCTAACAAAAGGCAGATTTCTTAACTAGACCTGTTTCATTTGGTTCACATTTGATACCTCAACATAGTGTTTATCATAGGTTGGTAAACTCCAGCTTTTGGGTCAAAGGTAACCCATGAACTCTTTCTGTACCAGTCTATTGCTACAAATCATTTTTACATTAAAATTTTTTTAAGTTAATTTTTATTAAAGTGGTGTGTGTGTGTGTGTGTGTGTGTGTGTATGCATGTGAGTGCAGATACCTGCAGAGGCCAGAAACATTGGATCCCCTTGGAGCTGGAGTTACAGGTGGTTGTGAACCATTCTGTGTGGTTGTTGGGAACTGAACTTTAGTCCTCTGTCAGAGCAATATGCACTCTTAACCACTAAGCCATCCTTCCAGGCCCCATTTTTACACTTTTAAAGGCTTTTGTGTGTGTGTGTGTGTGTGTGTGTGTGTGTGTGTGTGTGTTTAATGGAGTATCAGGAGATGGCTGATAAGGATAGTGGATAAGGGCATTTGCATGAGACCTTAAGTTCTAGTGCCCAGCATCCATGTGAAAAAGCTGGGCTTGGCCATATGTACCAGTAACCTCAGCTGTGGGAGGCAGAGACAGGTAGATCTTAGAAGCATGTTAGGTTTGGTGAGAGACCCCTGCCTGGAGGGAAATAAAGTGGTCATGACTTCTTTGGATTCCATGTGCATGTACCTGTACACACATGAGCACACACACACACATATATGCACACCACATGCACACACACACAGAGTGAAATAAGAAACAGAGAAATCATATGGTCCATAAAGCAAAAGCAATGTACTACTTGGCTTTTTTCAGGAAAAATTTGCCAAACCTGGATCGAGGTGATTTGGTAGAAATTGCTAGGAGATCCACAGGCTGGATCTGCTTTCACTAGTCATTTGTGTGACTTTGGAAAAGCTACTTAATGTGTCTTATTAAGTTTTTGTAAAATAGGAAGAACAAAATGGTACCTTTCACCCTGCCTGTGGCCCAGGACCAAATTAGATGATATGAATGAAATGTGATAGAAATTCCTTTCACATATGCACATTAAACAGATATAGTCTCCATATACTAGACTCAAATGATACCATTAGTACCTTGCATACCCAAAGGGGACAGTCTAGAAAAAGTTCCAAAGCCATCACTTACTGGAGTAAAAATAAGATTGTTTTTAGGGTTGGACATTGGCCAAGCTCTCCATTCATCACTTTTTAGCCTCATAATGCCCCTATGGGATAAGTGTTGCTATTTCCTACCTTTTGTAAATAACAAAAATGAGGCCTGGAGAAGTTAAGTAATTTTGTCTTGGTCATACATTTAGTTACACAGCTGGCAAAGAAGGAATCTAAATCTAGAGAGTCTGAATCCGCAGCTTGTGCATTTAAGTCCTGCATGTGTTCTCACATCCTAGAACTATGCATTCATTCAGGGTAAGTCAGAGCCAGAGTGAACCTAGGATAACTGGCCAGCGACCTTCTAGAATCCACCTGTAAGTCAGAACCAAAGTGAACCTCAAACATGACATTAGGTTGGTTAGTATATGACTGAGAGAGACTTGTTTCTCACAGTAGGGGAGGAGGGTGTTTAATGGACTTGAAGAAAGGGAGGCAGGCATGATGGGAGGGAAAGAAGCATTGGTAAGGCCAGAAAGGTATTATGAAGACTAAGCAGTTCCTTCCTGAGATACTAGTGAGTTAATGAAGAATATACTACAGGAAGTAAAGGATGTTGGGCGAAGATCTGTGCAGTGTGGATGGCAACCCAAGGAAGTGGACTGAGCGATGTGTGGAAAAGGGTGAGGGGGGAGCATGAGAACTTCTGTGAATGGGACACCTGGAAACATGTCACAGGAATGAAAAGACTGCTGATAAAAGAACCAACTCCTGCAAGTTGTCCTTGAACCTCCACATGAGTGCTGTGGCATACACACACACACACACACACACACACACACACACACACACATACACACACACACACACACACTTAAAGAAAGATCTTATCTACAAGGTCAGTCCATCTGAGGGTGAGATAGGGTAGAGAAGAAAGGCCCCATGCCTAAGGGAAAAGGAAATCAAAGCTAGAGGCTTGGAGGAGATGGGTAAAATGACGGGTGTAAAGAAAGAATGAGGAGGTCAGAACCTAAGAGCTGGAACCACAGCTTTCAGCCCAGGTGAGTGAGGCTGCAGAGGAGAAAAGCAGCTGCTGTCCTTGGAGCCAGAACAGAGGAGTACAAACCAGGCCACCGGCCCAATTGTAGCAGTCTGTTGTGTCCCTGGGGCTAGACTCTGTTCGCAGCTAATGCCGAGTCCCAGTGGGCATACTTACCTTCTACGAATAGCTTTTTCTTTATGTATTCCCTTATGTCTACTCTTGCCTGGGGGCGGGATCACTGATTCACATTGGTTCTTAATCTTTGTGAGCATCAGGCTCAATCATGGAGTTTTCCTTTCCATTTCTAATAGAAAAAGATACGCCCCTGGCACCGAATACAGAAGGCTTAAATGGAAGTGTAGATCCCCTTACTCCCTTCCCAGAGATGACCATTGTTTTGTTCAGGTTTCTAGGATATGACATGCCCACACCAAGGGCCACACTTGGCACTGTTCTGCTCTTTAATTTTTTGACTTAATATACATCTTGGAGCTGCTTCCACCTCAATTTGAACAGCACTCTCCTACTCATCTTTAAAAGATAGAGCATTCATTGCCCAGACATACAACTGTTTTAAAAGAACCATTTTGGACAGGGGTTTGTCTCTAGTTTTTGCTGTGTCACTTATCACACAATGTGCACATGTCTTTGCAGAGGGAATTCCTAGAAGTGAAATTAATTACTCGGTCAAAGGACATAGACTTTTACAATTTTCATAGTTATTTCATTCCTCTCACTACAAGCAGGAGAGAATTTGTTTCCCTGAGGAGACTTAAGCAAAAATACATGGAAGCCCTGCACCCCTGTGCTTGCTGAGCCTGGGGCCTAGGCATCTACCCTGGGAACTCCAAAGAGGACTCTGAGCCAAAAACCCTCCTAGGTCTCCGCATAGCCTCCTGATTTCCTCAGGGCTGGGCCACAGTGTGACGTGCTTGGCGCTTGTCCTCCAGGCTGGACATGCCATGGCTTCTCACAGGTTTTCTCTGAGTTGCCCCAGCAATGTTGGCTCTGGAATTCCTGGTGCTGTTGACAAGTCTTCTCTCCTCTCAGGAGTCAAGTGCTTTCTCCCTAGGTCAGGGCTAGAAAGCGGGGCTTTTCTCTCTATACCAGAGTTGCCCTGTGTCAGGGACTGCAATACAGTGCACCACAGGGTCATAGCCATGTGGATATGGAGACAGCCTGGAAGAAAACAGAAAAAACGGAAATGGTTAGCAGAGTGAGATGTTAAATGACTTTTTAAAGATTAGTATTTTTACAATGTTTTATTAATGATAAAGTAGATAAAACTGCATCTTCGATAAAAACACACTAATTTGTTGCTCTCTGTGATTGCCAGGGAGGCTGGGCAGGGGTGGCCATGTTCTGCCAGTTCTGCTAGGGGCTAGAGCTGGGAGGGGTCCAAGTCTACAAGTAAGGGCTATGTCAACCCTGTTCACAGGCATGTCTCCTAGGAATTGCCCAGGCATACTTTAGGGGTGTAGCACTTAGAGTGGGACTTCATGAATATTTATAAGAAGTGAAGGGTCACCCATGTGGCAACATGTTAAGGACTCTGAGGACCTGGGCTATCAGATACTATCCACTAGCCCCATGGAGCCTGACATTCTGTCAGCAATTCTTTCAGCTACGCAGTCTGCTCAATCATCTATCCATTCAGCAAGTCTTTACTGGACATCTACTAGTGTCAGGGATAGTTCTAGCTGTTGAGACTATGGCTGCAGACAGAAGATTCAGAAATCATGCTGTCATGAAGATTATATTTTGGAAAGAAGAGGCAACAAGTGAAAATTAATGTTTATATTTATTTCGTATGTTTGGGGAGCATATAAGATAGTAGTAATTGCTAGAGAGGAAGGCAAAACAGAGAAGGGGAGTGAGGGTTAGGGGAGAGTGTGGAAACTTTATCAAGGGTAGCCAGGGACACCTCACTGAGAAGTTGAAAGTTGAGGAAAAACCTCAAAGACCTTCCATGCAGGTATAGAGAGGAGAGTATTCCAAGAGGGGCAACAAGTGGGAAGGTCCTGAGGTGGCCCTTCCCTTTCCTGGCTGCTTTTTCTCTGGAGCTGGGGTCACAGGTGACTTGAAGGTACGAACAGTGTTTCACATGTTTTCAGAAATAGCTTGGACTAGCTTTCACTGTATAGTCTTTTGCACTCTTCCATTTTGTATCACTTGTAGATCTTTAAAAAGCAAAATGGGCTGGAGAGATGGCACAGCGGTTAAGACCACTGACTGCTCTTTCAGAGGACCTAGGTTCAATTGCCAGCACCCACATGGCGGCTACAAACCGTCCTCAACTCCAGTTGCAGGGGAATCCGAAGCCCTCTTCTGACCTTTGCAGCATTGCACAACACAGGTGCACTTACATACATGCAGGCGATACGCTCATATACATAAAATAAAAGTAATAAATAAAAATATTTTTTTAAAAAAGCAAAACAATTTTAATTGAGTTTTATGCTTGAAAAGGTGATGGCACTCAACATGGAGTTGGACATATAATAAGGTTCAGTAATTACCTATTGTTTGTGTATTTGATGGTGACTATTTAAAACCCCAGAGTCCATTTGGGTTTTGCACTGATTACTAATCCTACAGTCTCTCATTGGTGTTCCAGTTTATTTACTATCACTTGAGGGGCCATAGAGCCCTTTAGAGACCAGTTTTAAGTAGCCATAGGATATCTAGTTATCTGAGATGGTCATCTTGTCTGTCTATAATATCAAATTCCTTGAAGCCCCTGGAAGGTCCCTGTACTAGAAGAGTCAAATGTGCACCTTTTCTTGGTAGGAAATATTTCTCAGGTATTCACATTTGGAAACCCAGGGAAAATATAAATATTTGTACCTGAAGTGCCTGAAGTCTGTGCAGTGGACAATGAATCACATGACAAGAGCTAGCAGAATGTCATTCTCTTGTTAGCTGGCTCACTGCCTGCCTCTCCTTGCTCTCCCACTCAGCTGTGGACTCACGGATGCATGCAGGCGACTGTACAACACTCAGCCATCCCTGACAGAACATTTTAGTTTCCAGACCAGCTGAAGCTCATGTTATACAGCATATCCAGTTTCATAGCTGTAGATAAGATATAAGGAAGAAAGAAAAATGATGGTGAGGATTTCAAAATGTTGAAATATTTACGGATATTGGTAGGTTCTTACTCATTTTCACAAGTTCTAACCAATTGAGGTAGTGAGGTCTCTTTCCTGCCAAGTTGACACACAAGGGATACACAATAGCCTAGGAAAAAGGGAAAGACTTTCCAGTGCTGAACTTCAGCCACTAGAAGCTGAAGATGCATTCTGTGGTGCCACGGGAGAGCACAAGAGTTGTTGGGCAGCAAGTGGGTTGGTTTGATACCAGTGGGTGAGACGTGTGTTAAGGAGCATTCCCTTGGCATCTAGGGAGTAGCAAGGTTGCTTTCTATAGGCTGTTAATCCTTTTTTGTTGTTATTACTTGTTTTTGAGATACTATCTTGGTGTATTGACCAGGCTGGTCTCCAACTCCTGGGCTCAAGTGATCTTCCTGCCTGAGCCTCCTGAAAAGTTGGGACTACAGGTATGTGCCATCATGCCCAGCTTTCTATAGGCAGTTAAGAACGCTGGGGAGGGATGAAGATCTAGCTCAATGGTAGACACTTGCCTACCATGTGTCAGGCACTGGGTTCCACCCTAGTACTGTAGGAAAAATAAAAATAAAGATACATCTGGAGGCGGACTGCTGGTCTACTTCTGTGAAGGAGAAACATTTGAAAATGTGTACTTTCTTTCCATTGGATTGGTACAGGGGATACGAGAAAGTGAATTCCTGTTCTTCAAAAGCTGTCTTAGAAAAATAATTTATGTACTCTGACTTTAGGCACTGTAGGCTCTCGGTAAACGTTCACAGTGGAAATGCATGTGGATCTAAGTCAGAATTTAAAAAACCCCACCTAAGCCTTTTTCTCTCTAGTATTTGAAGTATGCTGTATATAACAACTCTGTGTAGAATAGACTTGGATTTTCCCCCCACATACTTCTACTTTGTAGTCTCCTGTGAACCTCTAGTGCCCCTACTGTACCCAGTTTCCCAGGCTTTCCTGTTTGCAGTAGAGCTGGACATCACTGCAACCAATTAATGATTGGCTAGACAGGGAAGGGTTTTTTGTTTTTTTTTTTTTTTCCTCATTGTGTTAAGTCGATTAAGGGTCCATTTTTAGAGATAAAAGCAATATTGTTTGAACTGTGGACTCTGGGAACTAAGGGTAATTTAGCAAGCCTTTCGTCATGGCTACCTTCACTGCAGGCACAGTGCCCAGAGGTAAGTAAGTCTTCCAAATGACCCTAAGTTGTTAAGTGGAAAATGTCACTATGACCTATTTCAATGTGTTTTAAACTTGAATTTTCTTTTTCTAAAAAACTTTTATCTTTTCAATTAAGCAAGTCAAATGGAGCAAAGAAATTAAATGTTCAAAAGGGAAAACTCCCTCCCGCTCCTCTCCTCTGGCTTAGTGCAGTGTCTGTGCACCCTTCACACATTTACACACATCTATGCAGAGATGTACACAAGCGTCTGCAAGGTTCCTTCTCTTTGCTTTTGGTACACATAATAGCAATCTCAAACATACACTGTTCTGTTCCTCACTTTTTTTAAACAGTATGTCTTGGAGATTGTTCTATATTAGCTACTGGGATTTATTTATTTCATCTATTCCTCACACGTGAAGCAGTCCACATTATGATAATTCCTCTCTCCTCAGTACTTGGCAGTTGATTTTTCACTCACGTTTTCCTCTTGCTGGTAAGTGACTTCTACCACTGGGTGACTTCTGGTCACATTCCTTGAATTGCCTTCCAGATAATACATCTTAATAAGTACTAGTGACTTTGCCTGGAGGATAACTAAACAACTTTATGTGACTGGGGCCCTTCAAGCACAGTGGTGTCACACTACTGTTAATTTAAACCACATTCCGAACTAGTTCCTTGAAGGTCCTAAAATAGGGACTCCAGGCATTGACCTGTCTTCTGAGACTGTGGCATGTTTTTTCTTGTTCCAGAAACTAGAATGTACCGAAGCATTCCTGTGGAGGTTGATGAATCAGAACCATTCCCAAGTCAGTTGCTGAAACCAATCCCAGAATATTCTCTGGAAGAGGAATTGGAACCACCTGCTCCAAATACAAGGGACATGGCACCCAACAACTTGTCTGCACTCCAGACCCCTCACTATGCTTCAAGAGAGTTTTCTCAGACTTCCCCTCCCCTCAAACTTGCCAATCAGCAGAGTCCTGTGTCCCAGCAGGTCACCTGCCTGCGTACTAAAGTTCTGGAGGAGGGTGAAGATAGTTTCTTTAGAAGGCACCCAGATCCAGGCAAAGGATTTTCCTTAGGCTCCTCTGAAGCCAGCCAGCCTGAGTCTGAGTCTGAGGTTGGAGCCCCTGCTCCAGAGCATCAGTTTTCATTTAAGGAAAAACACAATAGATGTCTGGGATCTCAGCTTTCAGCAGCTTCTCCAGACACTGGCCATAACTCAGACAAATCGGACCTAAGTTTAGTTAATGCTTTGGCAGACTCTGCGAGTGGTGGCCAACAGCCGGTGATGAGGCCCCAAGCCCACAGGAATCGAGCAGCTCCAGATTTGCCCACAATAGACACTGGGTACGATTCCCAGCCCCAGGATGTCCTGGGCATCAGGCAGCTGGAAAGGCCACTGCCCCTCACCTCTGCTTGTTACCTGCAGGACCTCCCTGGGCCTTTGAGGTCTAGGGAGTTCCCTCATTTTGAACCTCAGAGGTATCCAGTATATGCACAGAAGCTGCCTCCCAATCCTTCCCCACAGGCTCTATGGAACTATGGGTACCACTGTCCTGGAGGGCCCCATCTCCAGGCTCCATGTAAGTGATTTTACTGCTTCAGGATGTTCTGGGCGGGGAACTGAGGAAACAAAGCCTGGTATCACTGTGCCAGCCCCAAGGCCAATCACAGGTCAGAACAGCGTTCTCTGCTAGAGGCCCTTTCCACGTGTAGTTGGTTTTCAGAGGGGTCTTAAAAGGATGCTTAAATGCCGGGCATGGTGTAGTCCCAGCACTTGGGAGGCAGAGGCAGGCGGATCTCTGTGAGTTCCAGGCCAGCCTGGTCTACATAGTGAGTTCCAGGCCAGCTGGGGCTACAGGGAGGCCTTGCCTCAAAAAGACAAAAAAAGAAAGAAAGAAAGAAAAAAAAGAGTGCATAAACATCTCACTCTAGTCCCCTTTTAGGACAAAATGGATCCCCGTTAGGATTAGTTTAACTGAAACCTTCCTGGAGGCAGGAAGGTGACCTGGATGATTTCTAGGAAACTTACTTGTTCTAGTTCTTCGGCTTCTTTCTGGACTTTTCCTTTTCTTCCTGTTCCTTCCCTCTCAGACTCGGCACAGAAAGTGGGTGAGGAAAGATGGCTCTGCCTGCTCTTAGTGCCAATCAGGATAGGTGTGGTAGATTCTCCTAAGTATGAATCACTGAGAACTAAACTTTGGTAAGGCTGGAACTGTGTTTATTTCTCAGAAATTTCCAGGTTAAAAAGGTTTTCAAATTTTCACTTATCTACAGTCACTTTCTAACTGAAATAGGCTCAAAAGTTCAAAAAGAAATGAAAAAGAAGTTCATAGTTACCTCATCCAAATAGAATTCCTTATTAGGACTTACACATTTTTTTCTTTATATTAGATTTTTTTATGTGTATGAGTGTTTTGCCTGCATATGTGTAAATGCACCCATGTTGTGCAGTGTTGGTGGAGGCCAGAAGAGCTGTGTCAGATCCCCTGGAACTGGAGTTAGGGTCGGTTGTTAGCTGCCATGTGGGTAGTAGGAATTGAACTTGGGTTCTCTGCAAGAGCAGTCAATGTTTTTAACTGCAGAGCCATCTCTCCAGCTCCCCTTATTAGGATTCTTTCATATATATTTTTATCCTTTCATATATACTTAATATAAAATAATTTCCATGACATTGAGTGTACTTCTTCCAGCATAATTTTAAAGTGCTTAATTATATTTCACCTATTATATACAAAGTTGTCATTAACCTATTCTCTACTGCTGGACATTAAATTTCCAGTTTTCTGTTCTAATAATGCTATGACAATCTTTTTTTTTTTTTTTTAGACAGGATTTCCCTGTAGCCTGAGCTGGCCTTGAACTCACAGAGATTCGCCTGCCTCTGCCTCCTGAGTACTGGGATTAAAGGCGTGCACCACCACGCCCAGTGATGAATGCTATTTTAAATCTACATTTCTGATTAACTCTTAGATTAATGTACAGAAGTGTGATACTTAAGTCAAGGTCTTGTGAGTCTCAAGCAGTTGCTTTTATCTACTAACAGGAAAAATCTTCAATGTGATAGCAAATAGCATTGACTCTATGTAATAATGAGTCGCAGGAAGATCTTCCTACTGGAAAGTATTTTCCCTATTGAGGGCTGAAATGACGCCATTAGCACTCCGGCCTTTGGAGGTAAGCATCGCCCACCTTGGGCAGCCTCCTTTTAAAGCAGATATTTCCAAATGGGAACACTTTTCACCTCTAACACCTCAGAATAGCTTTCTTTCACTTTCCCCTTGCTCTCTGTATTGTTTCCTCTATTGAAGGAGGTTGAAAGGGAGTATTTAGGATCTTGGGAGTGCAGCCAGGTGAGGAAAGGCAGACAGGAGAGAACTTGGGCAGAACATGGGAATAATTCACAGATCATATATAAGCAGCCAAAACGCAAATGAAACGTAGCCTAACATCACTTGCTTAAGAAATGCAAAAAAATTAAAAATACCTTTTCTGTAATTATGGGTGCAAAAATAAAAACTTTGGACAACATCTGGTGTTAGTGGGTAAAGGACAATGAATAGATACTTTCATACATGCTTGGTATAAATGTAAATTGGTGCAATTTTGGAAGACAGTTTCAATATTTATCAAATTTTTATGAGTGCTCCCTTCTGGCTAACACTGTTACTTTTAGGAATATAGCCTATAGAAACATTAAACAGGCATAAAATATATGGATAGTATGTTTATTAAAACACTTTGTTGGGATCTGGAAAGATGGCTCAGCAGTTAAGAGCATTTGCTGCACAATCAGGAGTGTTGACATTCAGAGCCCAGTACTCACATTACAAGTTGGGAGTTTTGCAAGTGCCTATAACTCCAGCTCCAAGGGATCTCTCTTCTAGACTCCTCTTCTGGACTCCGTGCACACACGTACATGTACATATACTCATGCAAGACCCATATACACACATACATAAAAATATCTTTAAAAACTTGTATTGAAGTAAAAATAAAACAATTACTGCCTATCAATAAGGGGCCAGAATAGTACAGATAATTCTTTTTTTTTTTTTTTTTTCTTTTTGAGACAGGATCTCCCTGAAGCTCCAGCTGGCCTGGAACTTGCTATGTAGACCAGGACGGCCTTGAACTCAAAGACATCCTCCTGCCTCTGCCTCCCGAGTGCTGGGATTAAAAGCGTGCACAGGACGCTTGGCTTAGAGAGGTGATTCTTAAGATTTTGACATCGTGCTGGAGAGATGGCTCAGCAGTTAATACTTACAACTCTTCCAGAGGACTCAAGTTTGGTTCGGAGGCTCACCTATATATAACTCTAGGTCTATGGGTATAGATCCCATACATGTTTATTTGAAAAAAAAAAAACCTACATATATTTATATATACATACTTTAAAAAGTCCAGAAGGGTTGCACCAACTATATTAACAGAAGGCTGAGAGAAAGTAGGGAATTACAAGGGGACAGGGATATTTTCCTTGTAACTTTATATGCTTTTGTTAATTTTTATAACAAACAGTATTTCATAATTAAAAATAAATAAATGTTGAAAAGAACAAAAAGAAGAGCACATGAAAGGTGAGCTTGCCTTAGATCATGCTGCATGTACCTTGACCCTAGCTCCTGAAAGCACCGACTCACAGGAAGGTGTCAGTGTGGCCTGATGCTTATGGTTTTCTGCAGGGCACTACAACCCCAGAATATTAATGAGGCACCTAGCAGCAAGGACTCCAGAAAGGCTGCTGTGAGGACTAAATGAGATAATGTAGCAAAGGTTCTAGGAAAGTGGCTGGCTGCTAGTAAGCTCTCAATACCAGCAGTTCTTAGTTATTATTGTTATTTTTAAATGGATCCTGCAGCCCAGCCCTGCAGAGTAAGCCTCCACTTTCAGATCCCTCTTGCTGGCTCAGATTTTAAACATTCAGGGCAGATATACAAATGCTTAGTTTCATGTCAGGGCTATAACTGCACTTAATTGCCAACAAAACCACTTCAAACGAGCTGTTCACCTGAGGGAGGCTGTGTAGTTGGAAACCATGGCTACGTGGTTCTACTCAGCTTTAGAAAAGCACCACTTCCTTGCCTGTTAATGACTACATAAATAAATGATTACCATGCAAATGGCTTATCTTCGCTTTTTGCAAGTTAAAGCAAAAATGGTTACCGGTCACCTCTTTCATGTAAAAAAAAAAAATTCAAAGCAGATGAAATGAGGAATGGAATAGGCTACATTTTCTCCTCACCCCACCTCTAAGAGAAGTCAGCCTCTGCTGCCTGAGAAGCCGTCTGCTGAAGGTCACCAGAATGAAGCTTGTGCCTGAATAATCAAATCAAGCCCATACTACAGATATACTGGGGAAAAAGAAGGAATTAAGTTTAGTGAGCCTTTCTTTTATTATAAAATTCTTGCTTTCTCCAGGAAGGAGACAGAATAAAATAAAGCCGTGGATACATGCCTACAGTTGCTTCCATGGACAAAAAAAAAAAAAAAAAAAAAAAAAAAAAAAA